GTCGCGCCCGGGCCCCGCCCGCGAGTCCGCCCCCCGGCCCGTGGGTGGGCGCCGGGCCGCTGCTCCCTGCTAGCGGCGGTGACTTGGTGACCTTGGCCCTAGCGCGGACCCAGTGACCCAGCAGGGGCGCCGACCTAGCCCAGCGCGCGGGGCGGAGCGGACGGAGTGTCCACGGCGACCGCGACGATGCTGGCCTTTGCCGCCAGGACTGCGGTGAGTGCGGCGGGGGCGCCGGGAAGGGGACGCGCGTGGGGCGCCGAGGGCTGCGGGGTGGGGTTCCGCCGCCCCCCTCCCGCGAGTTCGGCGAGGAGGTAGCGGGTAAGGTCCGGGCGGGCAGCGTGCGAGACCGGGAAGGGGCGTCGAGACCCCCCGCCAGGCGGCCCCGCCTTCGACCTGGAGCCCGGCCCCGCTCGCCTTTTGGCCCGCTCCTGCCTGGCTATAGCCAATCTCCAAGCCTGTGCCCTGGGTCAGTGCCCTCGGTCCCAGGCATCAGTGTGTGGCCAGAGCCGCTCACAGGAACCATCTAGCCGGGCTTGGCAGAAAGTCCCGGGGGCTGGCGCAGGCAACAGGCGGCTCCCGTCTTCCCCTTCTGTCCACATCTGCTAACCTGTCTTCCCCAACTGCAAGCTACAGTCCTCATTTGGGTCCCTTTCCTCTCAGATCTGAGCAAGTCTGTTTGTCAGGCTCTGTTTTCTGGGGACAGACGCCCTTTTGGCAACAGCTGAGGGTTCTCCTCTGGGCTCAGACTTAAACTCTTTAGATCCCAGTGTCACCCTTTTCCTGGCCAACAGAGCCGGTCCCTGTCCCACAGGCGCCTCTGGGGCGCCCAGGACCACCAGACTGGCCTGATGAGCTCGCAGCAACTGCTTATTCAGATCTAGTCCAATCAATTCTCAAGCCATTGACCTCTGGCTTATTTTTCTTTTCTTTTTTTTTTTTTTTTGGCTTATTTTTCTTGCCAAAAGTTCTGTGTTCTGAGCCTCCCACTGGAGAAGCAACAGGTCAGAAAAATCAGGTTTTCATGGAGAGAGAAAGGGCCCAGGAGTCCAAAGGGAAGTAGGAAATGGGTGGGGCACTTGTTGGCCTTTTCTAGGGGTCTGTCCCACTGCACCAGGCCCCAGTTGCGGGACAGATTTCAGAGCCACAGGAATTTATAGGCCTGGCTGCTTCAGCCTTCCAGCCAAGTTTTCCCACATCTAAAAGATCTATGTAGATTTTAGCAGGTGGATTTTTAAGTACCTGTTGGCTCACATCCCTGGCACTGGGCCTATTCAGAGAAAAAAGGGGAAGTTTCCCATCTTCCCTCCTACTCCAGTGCCCGCTGCCAACCACTCACCTGTGCCCCATTCCTCTGAGCCTGGAAGTTAAGCCGCAATCCAATAGCTTCTTCCTCCAGTGGCACAACCCCAGATGCCACCCAGCCATTGCCAGTGCTGTCCTACCTTTCCCCCTAAACCTTGGCTCTTGTCCTTTCTTTCCAGCCTGGGCAGGTGGCTGCCTCTTGCTAGGTTCTGCTCACGCCCTGGGTAGCACAGTTAGGCATAGAGATCCAGCCAAGGCAGACAGACAGGGTCAGGACCTCATCCGGGCCATGGAGGACGGGCAGCAGAGAGAGCAGGTATGCAAGGGAGCTTCTGCTGCTTGCCTGCTCCCGTACCAGCAGCCTGGGACCCTCCTGTCTCTCTGCTGCCTCCAGAATCTCCTGGACTCCCCTCTGCCTCTGTCTCTGCCACCACTCACCCTCTGTGCTGGCCACTCAGCTCTCTCTTGCTGCTGCAAGCCCCTAGCCCCCACCCCACAAGCAAGAGAAGACCTAAGGCCTCACTGTCTAGGTCTCTGTGCTTCTCTTGGATCCTGTTTCTCAGTCTAGAAGGAAAGAAAAGGAGGTGGGGACTTGGAGAGGGAGTTGTCCCCAGACTGGGTGACTTGTCTTCCCAGGGAAAGAAGGGTGGGGTCTGTACTTCCCAACAGGAGGGAGGGCCCCCTCACCTCTGCCACCCTACTAGTGTTGACTAGGATCCCTGGGCCACACCCCACCCTCCCTGTGCCTGTCTGCAAGTCCAGGCCCCTGGGAGGCGGGGACACCACAGCTGAGGGCTGGGAGGCCTGGGTGAGCACCACCCATGAGGCCATCTCTACTCCCGGGATGGCACATAAATGCCCAGGACTTTGGCTTGGGGAGCAGCAGGCTTCTGGAGCTGCTGAGGGAATGAGCAAGGTGTTCTACTGCCTGCAGGCGAAGCCGCTGGGTTTCCTTAAGCCCTCCTCCCTGATGAAGCTGCCTGGCAGGCTCAAGGCGCATCAGGATGCGCTGCCACGGCTGCCTGTGCCCCCACTGCAGCAGTCCCTGGACCATTACCTCAAGGCACTGCAGCCCATCGTGAGCGAGGAGGAGTGGGCCGCCACCAGGCAGCTGGTGGATGAGTTCCGGAGCCCTGGCGGTGTAGGGGAACGGCTGCAGAAGGGGCTGGAGCGCAGGGCCAAGAAGTCGGAAAACTGGGTAAGTCGCTCACTGTGCCTGCTGCTGGCTGCACACCTGGAATCTGCAGTGCCAGCTGCCCCAGCACATTCCCTGGTCTGCTCTGTGAAGGTTCCTGAGCACTCACCCTGTGCTTGGCACCCTGTGGGCACAGGGTAGGCGAGGACACAGGAGCAGCCTCCCTGAGCTGGTGGTCACACAGCTGGCAGAGAGCCAGTCTGTGGTGAGGCGCTTTCAGGCAGCCATGTCCTATGCACAGGAAGAGGATGTGGGAAGTGCCAGGACAGGCAGTTGGCGGCGTCTTTCTGTTGAATAGTGGGGTGGGTGTGAGAAGGGGTGCTAGATCCGAACCAGGGACAAAGGGGAAACAGTCTGGCATGTGAGAGGAAGTGTGGGGTGAAGTAGACCGCCGAGGGGCAGAGCAGAGACTCGCAGAGCTTGCATTACGTGGGAGCGTTGCTTTGTATGGTGGTGCATTTGGTACTCAGTGCACTTACTTTCCTGCACTTGGCCCTCACTCCCACCTGGAGATGGAACGGAACTGCTGCTAGGGGAATGAGTGGAAGCCCAAGGCCTGGGAGGGTGGTGCCTTTGCCCCAGGGGAGGCAGGTGGCCTGGGCCTGTGATGCAGGGCAGGGAGGTCCAGAGTCCCTGGACTGTTCCAGGGCAGCGCCTAGGGCATTTGTGAGGCCAGCCCAGGGCTGCCAAGTTGGGACTGGCCTTGGTGGGGCAGATGTGTGGGCTGAGGAGCTGGCTTCTGCCTCTGAAACCATGCTTAGTAGACACAGGGGACCAGTTCCTGGGCCCGGGCAGAAACCAAGAGCTCTGATCCTAAGTCCTTTTTGCACAGTGGCTTAGTATTTCGTGCCCACCTCCTGAGTACTTTAAGTCATCTCAGTTACTTGCAATACCTGTGTTAGTGCTGTGTGAATGGTCGCTACAGTGTATCCTTTAGAGGACAGTGACAAGTAAAAGCAGGCTGCGGGAAAGCTCAGTGCACTAGAAGCAGGGTGCCGTGGGCTGGGCAGGTGGCTTCTGTCCATGAGAGGTAGGAGGCAGATGGACTTAGTAGGGCAGGCCTGGGATGGAGAATGAGGATGCAGGCCCTGAGCAGACCTCACAGGGGCTGGGGCTGGTGTTTTTTTTCTGGGTGGTTGATTCAGCAGCTCTTTTAACCCAACACTCAGAAGGCTGGGATCCAGCCACCTCCATCCCAGGCATGATGCTCCTGAAGCCGCCCTGCCACCACCTGGGCGTCTCCTAGAGGGGCGACCTGCCTGCAGGCTCTCCCATATCCCAGACACAGCCAGAGGCTCTGAGGGCCCTGTCTGCCCCTCCTTTCTGTTGAGGAAACAGGCCCAGAGAGGGGACTGTGAGTCAGAAGGGAGAGGACTAAGTCATGGCCCCTGCTTCTTGCTGAGTCCCTGGATGAGTGGCCTGGTGGTAGGACCCAGCCGTTCTCCACAAGGAACCTGTGGGTAGGGATCGCAGTGGGGCCAGGGGAGCAGAACTGGTGTGGGGTGCAGTCAGTAGGAAAGCCTGGGGCCAATGGCATCCAGAGCGTGTGCAGCTGCATACGCAGGGCTGGTCCCGGCAGGTCCTCAGGATGTGTCATCTCCCTGCATCTTGTCATAAGCAGGATCATTAGCCCTTACTGTGAGCCCTCTTCAAGATTGCCTTGAGCTTGGGATCCCTGTGGGACTCCCCTTCCCAGTCTGTTGCTGGAAAAACTGAGGGCCCCGGAGGTTCCTTTGGGCTTCCCTGGCAGCAGCCCTTGTCTCCTTGGACAGTTCCCAGCCTAAGAAAGTCAGGAACTCATTGGCCAGACTTGGTTTTTATCTAAATTTCACTTTTATTGTTTTTGTTTGTCCGAGGATACATCTTTGTTTACTGCTGTGTCACAATTATTGACTGAGAACTTGGGGCTGGGGTTAACTCGGTGACAGCGTGTGCTTGGCATGGACATG